TGATGAGAAATGGAAAAAATGGAAATAAAGTCTTTGTAAATAGGGAAGGATGGAGGGGGTGAAGGGAGGGCTAGGAATGGGGAAAGAATAAGAACCAAGATGCATCATGTAAAGGTACAATTCCCAATGAGAAATGTAATTCTGTTGTGTACCTAAAATGTACCAATAAAAGAATTTAAGTAAAAAAAATAAAGACCTTTCATTTGTATTCGATTGTTATCTGTTCATAAGGAGTTTAAAATATAACTGAGACATCAACTCCTATAAATTCAATATGCTGATAAGAAAACAAAATGAAAAATGAAATCATGGTGCAATACTTTTTGATGCACCACTATTAAGGGTTTATAAACACTGACCTACAATCACCTGGGGTGAGGTGGCCAAGACTGAAATGTGGGGGGAAAATAATCATTTATGAAAAGGATGAGATTTTGAAGATGGAGGAGATCTGGGTAGGCAGAGAAAGTGCATCAGAATTTCAAATGAAGAGACTCATTTGAACGAAGCGAGGACAAAAACGCTGAGGACACAGAACAGAATGGCTGGAGGCAATTGTGTGTATGGGGAGGTCGGCTGAGACTCAGTGTCGCTGAGATAGTGGTGCATCTGGGCTGTTCGCCTACAGAGTCAAGGCACATAGATGCAGGCAACTGGCAGTCCTTGTTCAGGTGCAGGATGGGACGATTAAAATAATCTTAGACGGCGGGTGTGCTGGGGCATCCCTGCAACCCCAGCACTCTGGGAGGCTGAGGCAGGAGGATTACAAGTTTGAGCCTACCTTGGGCAACACAGCAACTTGGCAAGATCCTGTCTCCAAAAAATAAGAGGAGGGGTAGGGGTGTAGCCCAATATGAAGGTCCTGGGTTAACACACACATGCGCGCGCGCGCACACACACACACACACACACACACACACAAGTCTCAGTGGTAAAGAATCTGTCTAAAATGCACAAGTCCCAGCAAGAAGACAAAGCATCATAGAAAGACAAACACTCCAGGCTAAGTACCTGAGATGGAGGAGTGAAAGAAGAATGTAGGAGATAAAAGGAAAATCAGAAGCAGGGTTAGAATAGCGGCAAGTGGGATGGTGTTCTGAAGACACAACAAAGAAAGAACTGGCAGAACTTAGAACTGGCTAGAGGACTACGGCTCACCAATGTTTCATTCTTTCTACCTATAACCTAGGGATCTAGACTTTTAGTCAAGATAAATGTAAAGTTAGTCAACAAGATATTGTTTTCAGTGTAAGAAAGTTAGCAGTTACTTTTATTAAGTCATGTGGAAAGAATAATACCCCAAGCCCTTTTTGTTTTGTTGCTTAGGGGCAGCTCCCATTAAAAAAAAAACAACTCTCTCCCAAGATATTCCTAGGCTAGGCAGCTCTTGAAAAAGAATAAAATGATGTACGATGTTTAATCTCATGTGCCTCCAACTGTTCCTTTGAAAAATACGGAGAACAATATGTAGCAGCTCATAGGGCTGCTGTGAGGATTGAATGAGTGAATAAATACAATGTTAAGCGTCAAACTTAGTGTCTTAGTGCTAGCTCCCCCACCCCTTGTTATTTTTCCAATGCTGGGACTTGGAAGAATGAAGTGAATGGCCTCATTACATTTGCTATTCATACTAAGGAAAATTAGGGAATAAGGTTGGATTGCAAGGTGGGAAAAGGGTCACCAAGGGAAGAAGGAAAAATATTGCACAAGGCAGAATGATTTTAAATAGGGAACACTATCTCTGATGGGGTGGGGGTGAATATTACTTTTTGGACGTGCCTGCCAGCCGAAGGCAGTGGGTCTTGGCCTAAGACAGTACACTAGTAATGGTGGGAGAACGACACTCCAGTCACTCGGTACCCTACTCTGTGTTTGGTAAATAACTTTGCACCAACTTCTCAAGCTCCTCTTCTCAGTGGAGGAAAGCCGCTCGAAAGACACCAGGCCTCCTAGCAGTCAGTGTACACCGTCCGGGATGCCGAAGCTCAATCAGCTTGGCAGTCTTAGGTTTTGCTTTCGTGATGACTGAGCTGACCAGGTTCGGAGGCCTCAGGGCTCCTTTGTCCTTGCACACTTCATGCCTGACAAGATGCTTAAGCAAAGTGAACCGGCAACCGCTAGGAGGTACCCGAGCCTCGTGTCTGCGTACGGGCGAGCAGAAATGGCTAACAGCGGCTCCCCCCGCTAGGCGGGTCCAGGCGGGTGGCGCTTTTCCAAGGTCGGGCTTGCGATCAGCTCGTCGGTGCAGCCAGGACTTCTGAGAAGAAACAGCCGGTTTAAGGCGGAGGGAACGAATGCGCCCCGGAGGCTTTATCGCAAGAGATCCGTGCCCCGGGAAGCAGCTGATCTGGACGCTGCGGCGCCTTTGCCGGCAGGGCGGAGGCGAGGACCCCGGTGTGCACGCACCGCCCCGTGCGCGCGCTCGCCCGCGTCCGGAGATCAGGGTGTGTGTGTGTGTGTGTGTGTGTGTGTGTATTTGTGTGTGTGTGAGTGTGTGTGTGTGTGTGTGAGCGCAAGCGCGCGGACGGGTGTATCCTAGAGCCGAGGCTCCGGGACCAGCTAAGGGGGTTAGGGGCCCAGGAAGGAATAAATCTCTGCCCACTTCCTCGCGCCTGGCTACGGGTTAATCAGCACCGAGCAGCTGGAGAGAGACGGGAGAGACAGCAGCCCGGGCGCGCCGGCCGGCCGGGGATCGAGGGGTCGGGTTCACCATCCCCCGGTCTTTGCAGCACTCGGGCGCTGCTCTTTTATTTATTTATTAATTTATTTTTTTATTGTCTGCCTCTCTCCCCGGAGACCAAGGGCAGGCGAGGGGCGACGCGGCGGATCTGCACGGGGTGCGCTGGGCGATTTCGAGGTGGGGGAGGGCGGGGGAGACCTTTATTTCCACCAATCCCGGGCGTCCGTCCGCGGAGTCCGGGGCGCAGCGGAAGGCTGCGGCGCGCCGCGGGCTTCACCGATGAGAGCGAGTTCTTTTCTTCTTCGGGCGGGGAGGGGAGTGAGGGTCCCGGCGGGCGAGGCGGAGGAGCCGGGCGCGGGTTAGCGGTCCCGGGCCGCCGTGGAAATTTCCGAGGACTTGGCGCGGCGCGGAGAGTGCGTCGGGGTGGCCGGGGGTGTCGGGGGCGCAGCAGCGCGGGAGGCGGGGAGGCGGCCGAGGGCAGCGCACCGCTCCGGAGGGGGCGCCGCGCCGCTTCCCGGACCCTCGCCCGGGACGACCGTGATGCTGCAGATCCGGCGGGAGCTCCCGGCCGCCGCCGCCGCCGCCGCCGCGTCCCGCTCGCTCCGGAGACCCCAGCGCCCGCCTTCTGCAGGGGAGACGACCTTGGTCTAGCTCGTGACTTGCCTGCCGGCTGCTTCCCCTTTTTTTCGAAAAAGTTGCCTTTTCCGAAATCCTCGCGCTGACGTTTGGGGCCGTGGGGGCCGTAGCGGCGGTGCGTGCGTGTGCACGGGGGGCCGGCCACGCGGGGACCTCCGGCTGCCCCTTCGCCCCGCGGAACCGCGCTCCGGCCCCCGGCCCGGGACGTCAGGACTGCTATGAGCCGCTGCGGGCGGGCCCGGCGACAGACGTCCAGGGGGGCCATGGCCGTGCTGGGGTGCAAGTTCCCGCGCATCCGGCTGCCCGTGGGCGCCAGCGCCCTCTGCGTGGTGGTCCTCTGTTGGCTCTACGTCTTCCCCGTGTACCGGCTGCCCGACGAGAAGGAGATCGTGCAGGGGCTGCTGCAGCAGGGCACGGCGTGGAGGAGGAACCAGACGGCCGCCAGGCTCTTCAGGTACTCTCGGCCTTTGCCCTCCTGCTGGCCCAGGTCTCGACCGACCGGCCGGCCGGGACGGCCCCGCAGTGCCCTTGGTGACATTCCCATTCTGGAGATTGTAGTCAGGACCCCTCCCCAGCCCTCCCTACTCGGACAGATGCGCAGGTAAAGACTGAGCTCGGGTCCTCCCAAGCCTGAGTTGTCCTGAACAATTTGCGGATGAGAAGGGCGGACAGGAGGACCCAGGCTAACTCAGTCCCTCGTACTTAATGAGAATTTATTTCTTGGGCTCTGCAGACCGAAGCTAAAGAGAACTAAAGGCAGGTAAGAGGCGTCTTCCCGAGGGAGGCGAGCAGTTGGTAGCACAAATCATCAGAGAGGGCCTGATGAGCAGACCTTGGGCAGGGAGGGACAGGGACACCCAGCCAGCTTCCTGCTGCTTTACACACTGTGCCCAACGCACCTAGACAGGACCGACTGACGTCTTATCAAGAGCCAGAACGGTGCGATTTGTACGTTGAAATCGCAACAACTTTCTGATAACAGGGTTTTTGTTTTTCTCCTCTTACCGACCACCAACTCTTTGGAAGGATGAGTTACCTGCTCAAGGTCATGTACCTTTGAAGCGTGGGTGCTGGAATTTTCACCACTGAAAAGCTTCTTGTTCTTTTTGTTGGGGCTTAAACTTGTGGATGCTTCCGGAAGGTGGGAGATGTCCTTTAGGGAGAGACTTGAAATCAGAAAAGAAACGAAAAACAAAAGCAGGTTGGAAATCAGAACTCTGAGGATCCCTGAGAAGCTGTAGTTTCCCTTTGTTTGGGGGAAATGTTAGTTTAAGGGTCGGAAAAGAAGTTCCAGGCGGTAGGGGTTGGTAGGTAGTTGGAAGGAGGGTAGAGCTGCCTCTGGTTCTTCAAAGTACAGCCAGAGCGTCCCTTTCACCTTCAGTCTGAAGATGCGGCCTTTGGCTTTTCTGAGAGTAGAGGGTCTGGCTAAGGAGGGTTTTACTCTGCTCTTTAGAAGATCTTCCAGTCAGTGTGTGGGCAGGTGAGAGTCAACGTAAACGCTTTCACTGCTTTATTTACAAGTGTTCACAAGCATGTATACATTGAAACAAACTTTTGAATATATATTTTCCCAGGCCTACTGTTGGAAAGAAGGTCACAGGGACGATATAGCCAATTCTCTCAGAGGAAGGCAGCAAAATTCTCCTTAAAGCTGGGAAGGGGAGATTTTCCCTCTTCCTTTGTTTTTTTTTGTAACTATACCATCAACTTTAAAAATAACCCCAGCCCCCTAACAATACATAAAGATTAATTGTCTCTTGCCTCACAACATTGATTGCTGGATTCAAAAGAAGGCAAAAGGTATAGCACCCAGCTTTCTGTCCTTGTGCTTTTATTTCAAGTAATATATGAAAATCAGTTAAGAACTTCCCTTTGGGTTGCAATGAAAGACTCCCATTGTTTTGCATGGGAGAATAAATAATGAAGCTCTGTTAGAGAATAAATTTGTTTTTAGAGAACACAATTGAGTGGAAAATGCTTCATATTCTGATCAACAGACTGTTGCTGGGACGCATTTGTCCCTTGCTCTCCACAGCCTGAGGTAATCTTCGGTGTGCGTAACTGTCCTTTAGTCTGTGCTTCACGTCTATGTGCAGAGAATGGCTTACTGAAATCCATACACTACAAAGAGTACCCGAACAGACCCATCAAATTTAGTGTCTGTGAACTGTGTAAAAGGCACCATTGCTTACCAGGAACAGATAAACAGCATAATATCGCTGGCAACCTACTGTATCTCTTTGACTCTTAGCTTCCTTATTTATAACAAAAGGATGATAACATCTCTCTTGTAGGACTGTTATAAGGTTTAAATAATAATAGTAATAATGATGATGATAAATAACTAATACCAGATGTCTGATACATTGCATCCCCCAAAAATGGTTGTTTTATAATTGTTATAGTTATAATTTTCTGTATATGCTACAATTTAAATAAGGACATTGGGCCAGACCATAAGAATTTGGAATGTTTCCCCTAAAAGATTGATAGAAGAAACATTATTTGTCCACACCCACCTCTCCACTCACTTTGCTTAAGCTAATGACCAGAGATAGGAGTTTTGAAAAATTAAGCTTCATGTTTGGTAAGTGAAAAGAATATTTTCATTACTTTGCACATTTAGTAAAATTCATTGTTTTTTAACACATGGATTATTAACATATGAGTACAAGTGTATATTTGTTAAGTATTAGCTCAGCCCAAAGCCTTTATTATGCTAACGAGTCACAGTTTTGCCAAGCAAGTACGTGTGTTTCTCCAGCCTGAAGTATCTGGTCAAGACAAATATCTGTACATGTGTATAATATGTATTTCTGTGTGGAGAGTGATGCAGTTTTATTTATAAACAAGGAAATTTTGTCATCTGCATGTAGAGGCATATGCATACATCCAAATATTTGCAGTTAGTTACTTGAGCAGTATTTAGTGAGTGACTACTACCTACCTACCACATAGGTGTTAAGTCCAGGAAGGTAAGGGTATATAGCATGGAAAATTGTCTCCTCTAAGAAAGCTGACTTTTTGCTAGGGAATGACTGACAATAACCAAAAAGAAAACAATGTTGATTTGCTGTACTTTTCAATGTTATGAAGACAAAAGAGAGTGTTCCATTATGTTTACAAGCACCAGAATTTCAGATTTTATTTTATTTTATTTTTTGGAGTGCTGGGGATTGGACCCGGGAACTCAACCATGCAAACAAGCACTCTGTCACTGAGCTATATAGTCTCAGCCCATTTAGATTTTATTTTACCATGTGTGGTTTTATTTACTTTTGTGATTTTCTTCTTTTCTGAGCTCAGAACCACAGAAGTCAACCTGAGTACTTCTTAGATGGGGAACTTAGACAAACTGCGTAGGAGATGACCGAGAAGGTGACAAAGCTGCAGGTGTTTGAACTAAATGGAAAGTTTTCCTGACAATCATACGGTGATAGGAAGGTAAAGAAATCAATTGATTTCAGCATAGAAGCTTTCTTAACTCTTGTTGCTTTTGATCAAGGAGTTAGGTAATATGAGAAATGGCAAACCAAAGCAGCTATTGTCTTTTCCATCAGATACCCATTTCATTTGTTCCTCCAAAATAAACCTCAGCTTTGGATTTATGTACAAGGCTATATGTATATTCTTGGCATCTGACACACTAACAACAACGCCAGCAATAGATTATCAGATGCTTCCTAGCTGCCTGGCATAAGTGCTTTATATGGATCGCCATGTTTGATCCTCATAGGAACTTTGCATTTTATCCACATTTATAAAAATGAACATGCCTTCACCCCTGTCATCAAAGGATTTTCTATAATCCCGTGGGAGGGGCAGATTAGACATATAAATATATATATTTACTTTGTGACCTAGAAAGACAACGTGGCAGAGTGACAGGTTTAGGGAACACGTGTGGGTCACAGTGTGGTTGGGTTATGGTTGTGACCCTGTTTGGTTGTGCAGTCATCGGTGAGTTCAACTTGCAAAGCCTGTTTCCCCTTTTGTGAAATGAAGTTTCTCGTACAGTATCTCACAGATTTGTAGTGCAGATTACCTGAGACATACAGAAAGCACCTAGAATGATGTTGGCCATGTCTGTTTAATTCATGGTCATTATAATAAAAACACAAGCAAAGAGTTGGGGAAGTTCACAGAACATGGTAATTCCACTGGAAGGGAAGAAATAAGATTTTAGAACGGAAATCGTGTTTGCTGTTAGCTATGCTATAGGGATAAAAGGAACCCTTCTACATTATTGATAGGAATGTAATCTAGTATACCTACTATGGAAATCAGTGTGGAGATTCCTCAAAAACTAAAAATAGAAATTCCATTCAACCCAGCTATTCCTCTTCTAGGTATCTTCCCCAAAGAACTAAAGAAATTGGGCTGAGGATTCAGCTCAGTGGTTTCGCCGCCTGCTGTGCAAGTGCAAGGACCCGAGTTCGATCCCCGGTACCAAAAAAAAGAATTAAAGACATCATATTACAGTGATCCATGCATACCTGTGTTTATAGCAACACAGTTCATACTAGCTAACTCTTGAAAGTGGCCTATATGTCCACCAGGAGATGAATGGATAAAGAAAATGTGCTGTTTAAATGCAATGGAGTACCATTCTGCTGTAAAGAAGGATAAACGAGTCATTTGTAGGAAGGTGGATGCACCTTGAGACCATAATGTTAAGTGAAATAACTCAGACACACAAGCTTAAATATCACATAGTTTCTCTTATGTGAGAAACCAAAAGCATAAATAAAGAACAAAATGAAAGATAGGAAGTAGGGAGTGAGATCTTTTGCAATTGGGAAGGAGATGAAGGGAAGGGGGAGGGCGGGAAGGGAAAGGGATGAAAAAGGAGTTGTAATGTGTTCCGTACATGTATCAACTCCCGACGAGGCATGTAAGCTTTCTATACTGCAAACGTGTATTAATAAAAAATAAAAATTGAGAAAAAAAGATGGGGCAGTGTTAGGTGAGAATAGAAGAATGTTATAGGCAGAGAAAGCAGGAACAGTGAAGGCAGGGGGTTTGGCAGTGCCTGGCAAGTTTTCGGGATGGAAAGTTATCCAGCCACCCACGGAGACCTTGGTTGAAAGGTAGGCTGGGAGATAAGAGGAAGCCACGTCCCAAGCTTTGAATGTGTCTAAGGTGGGGCTCCCGAGAAATGGACAAACACCAGCGGGCACAGCTCCCGGCAGGAAAGGCAATGCACATTACCGTGACCAGTGGATTTGGGGATGGCGAGCCCAGGGTGATACAGCGAAATGGTTGTTTTGAAGATTTTGTTCACTTACTAACTAGTGACGATGACATGGAGCAGTTATGTTCCTTTTGATTTCCAAACTCTGAGCAAGCCACTGATCTGGGCAGTTCTGCCTTATGTGGCTTTTCCTTTTCCTTATGGCTCTGTAAACATTGAGACATGTGCATTTGCTGTGATGGCCAGAGATCCACCTTGGG